AAAAATTGCAAGTGTTGTAAAGTTTGCCTGGGATTGGAGAGGATGAACATGATTTGAGGATTGCTTCTAGTGAACAAGGACAAGGTTGACATCCTTCACCTGTTACATAAGATTTTCTTCTGAACAATGAAGGCTGACATTGGCAACCATGGACAACATTTATATACAGATAACTGTGGATGAAACTAACCAAAATACAAAAGGAACAGAGAACATATTCTGATATTTTTAGAAACAGTACTGCACTCAGAATTTAGGTTGACAGAAAATGATTGTTTATGACAGATGGCATTCAGAGTTGGCAGGAGCAATTAAACATTTGAGAAATTAAGATAAATGTATATTTTATTAGGATGCTTCTATGAAACATTTGAGAAATTAAGATAAATGTATATATTTTTTTAATTAGGATGCTTCTATGTAACTGAACAGCAGAGCTATCAGATTTTTGACACCATTTTAGCTCAAATATATGCTTTACAGTCTTAAAGAAACTCAGTCAGATCTTTGAGAACCTACCGGTTTTGCCTCATGAATCTCATGTTGGGAAGTCACAAATCAAGTACTTGGACATGATGAAATTGTACTTAGATTACGACTAATTCCTGGTATATTTGTGAAATTCATAGCAACTTATGTGTGCGCACGTGCAGATATTTTATACTATATATATTGCAAGTGATTTTACATATTGCATTTTCCTTCTACATCAGAGGTGAGCAAACTATGGCCCGCAGACCACATCTGGCCCACGGGACTGTTCTGCCCGGCCCCTGAGCTCCTGGCCCAGGAGGCTAGTCCCCAGCCCCTCCCCCGCTGTTCCCTCTCCCACACAGCCACACGGGCAGCAGGGCTGCGAGTTCCTGCCGCTCTGAGCAGCCTTGTAAGGGGGCGGTGGCAGCACGCACTCGGTGGGGGTGGTGGGATTGGGTAGGAGGTCCCGGGGGACAATCAGGGGACAGGGAGCAGGGGGCGGTTTGTAGGATTCATAAAGGGTTAATGCGCTTGGCAACATTCAGGGCACACCCTGAGTGTTGTGTAGGAGCAGTGCACACACAGCTCCTCTCAAGGGCATGAACCTTGGAATCTCGCCCAGATGACATGAACCGTGGGAAGCCTCCCAGGACTGGGCTCAAGGCCCGAGAGCAAGGAATGCGGTAGATAGAAATTGGTAAATAAGGACGTTAAACAAAGCCAGTGTATTCCTTTTATCTGTTGGAGAATGTAATGCGCGGGGGAAGAGAAAGAATAAAGGAGAGGGTGGAAAGCTGACAGGAGCAGTCCGTTGGCAGACCAGCCTGTTTGCTTGCTAAAAGCTTTGTGCTGTCTGTATTTGAACCGCAACAACTGGCGCCCAACGTGGGGCCCTCAGCACTCACCTCGCCCTGCAAGGGTTTCAGACGCGTCACTCATCTGCTTCGCGGATCCCGGTGAGTATTTTTCATTGTGGTAAGTATGGGAAGCTCCCTCTCTGCTTTGCAAGTGCAACACCGCAATGAGCTACAGTATTTGCTGCGTAAGGCTCAGCATGACTGCCCCACTCGAGAACTCACTCTTCTGCTACAGGAGGTGAGTGCCCAATGCCCGTGGGTACCCTGAAGCCGGAACCCTTAAGCTAGCGGACTGGGAGCGGTTGGGCCAGACATTGCACAAAGAGCCTTGGGCGCCTGTGCAGGCTTTACATGCCTGGCACCTCTGCCGCGACGCGATACAGTATGTCGCCTCGGACAGGCCCTCCCTCGCGGGGCTGATGCTCTCGCCACTCCCGTCCGCTCCTGCAGCCATCCCCCCTCCTGGTGATGCGACACAGCGTGTCGCCTCGGAAAGGCCCTCTCCTGCGCCAACAGAGGGGCTGCCGATCCCGCCACCCCCTTCCGCTCCTGCAACCATCCCTCCCCCTGCTTTCCCCCCAGTGCCTCTATTACCACCGCCTCCCTTGCCTTCCCCACCGGAGCCGGTGTGTGATTACCATCCCCCTATGGGGCCCCATGCTCCGGGGCCCCCCGGAGGGTCGTCCGTGTCTGCTCAGGGGCTTTCGCTGGTGCAACAAATGGTTCACGCAGCGAAGACTCGCTCAGATATTACAGCAGAGGAGCTGGCTGATCTAGTCTCAGTTTGTCCGGTGACCTGGCAGGATGATGGCCAGGGCAACCAGGTTGCAAACTGGGTCAGTTTGCCTTACTCGGTGAACAGAGAGGTAAAGAAAGTGATTCGCGAGTTTGGCCTCACTAGCACGTATGTACATGGTCTCATTGAAGGGCTAGGTACTGGGTACACCCTGATCCCTGAAGATTGGAAGGCGCTGTTGCGCATGATGCTGACGCCCAGTCAGTATGTTATTTGGCTTAGTGAGTATCGGCAGATGGCAGAATGCCAAGCCCAGGTATATAGAGAGCAAGGTATTATTTATGAGCACTTGGCAGGGGAGGGCCAGTTTGCTACCATTCAGATGCAGTCTCAACTCCCTCAGGCCGTCTTCCCCATTATTTCCACCTGCGCCCAGCATGCTTTCCAGAAGGTCCCGGATTCAGGCAAGCCTACCAAAAGCTTTGCCAGTATCCGTCAGGGTGCATCAGAGTCCTTTATGGATTTTACCAACAGATTGCAGGAGGCTATTCTCTGACAGGTGGACAGCCCTGCAGCAGCTCAGGAGATCCTGTTAAAAATGGCGGTTGAAAATGCGAACGAGGATTGCCGCCGTGCTCTCCAGGTGGCACAAGCCACTGGCATTCTAGAGCTGTCGGACATGCTGCGGGCGTGCCAAAACATCGGCACACAAGCACATAAAGCTGGGGTTATGGCCGCCGCCCTGCGGAAAAGCGGGAAGGAGGGGAAGCGTTGTTATCGCTGTGGTAAGGAGGGTCACTTTCAGCGGGAGTGCGGCTCATCGACGGCGCCCGCCCGCCCCTCAAAGAAGTGCCCCAAGTGTCAGAAGAGCTATCACTGGGCTAATCAGTGTCATAGCGGGTCGGGAAACCGCACAACAGGTCTCCCCCTTACCCAGGGCCAAACGGGGGTGTTTCCCACTCAGACAACTGTTCCTCTGCCTTAAAATCCATAGATTCCATGAGGGCGGCGACTGCCGGAAGTGCAGGGCTTGATTTGATTATGCAGGAGGATGCTGATTTTCAGTTGCCGGGGGAGGTTTGCGCCATACCTACACAGGTGACAGGACCTCTCCCTGCTGGATTTGTGGGTCTGGTTCTCCCTCGCTCACATGCTGGGAAACAGGGTTTTTTTGTCATCCCAGGGGTCATTGACGCCGATTACACCGGCGTTATTAAGGTTCAGGTGTGGACCCATCTTCCGCAGTCACTCCCGCGTGGACGGTCAATTGCGCAATTGATTTTAGTCCCCTATCAGGTGCCAGCTGCAGAGGATCGAGCCCGGGGCGGGAACGGCTTTGGATCGACGCTGTCTCAGTTGCCGTCTCACAACACATCCTCTCCACTTGTTGCTCTAACAATGTTGGTCCGCCCCTCGAAACCTCAGTTAACACTTCTCTTAAATAATGTTCCTTTTACAGGGCTGGTGGACACTGGAGCTGACGTTACGGTGATTCGTGATCCGGAGTGGCCGGTCGGTTGGCCAACAGTTCCTTCTAAAGAGTTGTGGGGGATCGGGGGTAGCAAACCCCGGCGCCAAAGTTTGTCTTGGGTCACGGTCTCTAAACCAGGAGGCCGTGCCCTTGCTACAATCCGCCCTTTTGTACTCCCTGTCCACCTCAATATTTGGGGCCGTGACTTACTTGTAAAGCTGGACACCAACCTCGATATTAATATATAATGGCCCAAAATCCTCCCTCACCCACCTTGCCATCCGCATTACCATTGGTATGGCAATCCTTAGAGCCTGTATGGATTGACCAGTGGCCCCCCCCCCAGAAAAGCTGAAAGCTTTCATTCACTTGTACAACAACATTTGCATGCACAGCACTTGGAGAGCTTCACTAGTCCTTGGAACTAGCTGCTGTTATTTTGGCCTTTCAACTTTTTGCTGATTGTCCCTTTAATTTGATCGTGGACACGCATTATGTTTATCACGTAATTGATCATTTACCCCTTGCCCTCATCACCCCTCAGGTCAATGCGGACCTTCTTCGCCTGTTTTTGTCCTTACAGTATCTCCTCACCACTCGTAATTTCCCTTATTTTGTTGCTCATATTCGCAGTCATACCCCTCTGCCTGGGCTACTCACTGATAGCAATGCGTGTGCTGATCGCACGTTACGTGGTCAGGTAAATTCCCTTTTTCCTGACCCCATTGAAAGCCATTCCTTTTTTTATCAGTCTGCCTCTGTTTTGGCCCGACAGTTTTACATTCCTGCTGATCATGCACGTTCTATTGTTCATTCCTGCCCCCACTGTGCCGCTGCTGCCCCTACCTTCTCTTATGCCGTTAACCCCAGAGGTACCGCAGTGAATCAGCTGTGGCAAATGGATTTCACTCACATGCAACAATTCCGCCCCTATTCGTTTTTACATGTTTCCATTGATACCTATTCGGGATTCCTCTGGGCGACCCCACAGCGTAGGGAAGCCACTCCCAAAGTTATTCACCATTTGCTAGCCTGTTTTGCTGTTATGGGTCACCTGAGCCAGATAAATACGGATAATGCCCCAGCCTATTGCACCACAGCCCTCTCCACCTTTTGTGCCCAATGGGACGTCCGTCTCAAACACGGGATCCCTTATAATTCCACAGGCCAAGCTATTGTTGAACGTGCAAACTGCACACTAAAAACCTTGCTCAACAAACAATTAAAACAAGGGGAGCTGCGTCTCCGAACCTTAGGAGACATTCAGCAACAAATGCATATCCTTTTGTTTACTTTAAATAATTTAACGCTGAATGCAGATCAGCAGACCCCCACGGATTGGCATTTTCATAAGTCCGAGGTACTGGAAAGACCGCGTGTCAGCTGCCCGATCCGCAATGGCTGGGCCCAGTGCCTTTAATCACTTGGGGTCAGGGATATGCTGCTGTGTTTCTCCCTGCAGGACCGTTGTGGGTTCCAGCCCAGTGTGTGCGACCGGCACTGAAACAGCATGGCGTGGCACCAGGGGCTATCGAACCCCATACCGGAGTTTCAGCTGACCTTGGAGGAGAACACGGTGCCTCCCGGGTCGACAACGGCGGGACGGAAACGGAGGAGGCGTAGCGTCCCAAGCCAGCCTGTGACATGGGGAGCAGTAAAAGCATTGGTCGCCGCGGCTCAACGAAGACTGGCAGCAAACCAACAGCCAGAGACTCCTGAGACTTTGTTTGTGGCAATTCTTGCCCAAATTACTGCTAATTCTGTATTGATTGTATGCCTTTTGTGCCTGCTATTTCCTGTAGGGGTTGGCTCAGGAGCGCTTCCTCCGTTACGGGCCCGAATGACATACAACCTATGGGAAAGATTGGCTTCCATAGCAAATGTTACCCACTTTTGTTTATCTGATTTTGTAGCAGCTGAAGAATTGTTAGGTACGTGCCTTATTCCAGTATGTCATCACCCTGAGGAAATTGGGAATGAGATGATACTTGCTGCTTACGCGAACCTCTCTTCCCAGTACTCTAGCATGGCTAATTGGGGCCCGGCCAATTACACTTTACCTTCTTAAGCTTATTTTTTGCTGTTGCTGTGTGCAATGTATTTCCTTTTTGTTAAGGCTTTGTCAAGACCCGCCCTGGCAGGCTCCACGAGTTATGACCTTGTCTGTCCGGGAGTTAATTGGCTTGCAAAAGCAAATTGATGGCTACCATGAGATGGCCAAGCACAAATAAACAAAAAAGGAGGGGATGTAGGATTCATACAGGGTTCATGCGCTTGGCAACATTCAGGGCACACCCTGAGTGTTGTGTAGGAGGAGTGCACACACAGCTCCTCTCAAGGGCATGAACCTTGGAATCTCGCCCAGATGACATGAACCGTGGGAAGCCTCCCAGGACTGGGCTCAAGGCTCGAGAGCAAGGAATGCAGTAGATAGAAATTGGTAAATAAGAATGTTAAACAAAGCCAGTGTATTCCTTTTATCTGTTGGAGAATGTAATGCGCGGGGGGAGAGAAAGAATAAAGGAGAGGGTGGAAAGCTGACAGGAGCAGTCCGTTGGCAGACCAGCCTGTCTGCTTGCTAAAAGCTTTGTGCTGTCTTGTATTTGAACCGCAACAGCGGTTGGATGGGGCAGAGGTTCCGGGGTGGTTAGGGATTGGGGAACGGGGGGGTTGGATAGGGCATGGGAGTCCCGGGGGGCCTGTCAGGGGGCAGGGGTGCGGATAGGGGCCAGGGCAGTCAGGGGACAGGGAGCAGGGGGGGTTGGATGGGTCGGGGGTTCTGAGGGGGACAGTCGGGGGTGGGAAGTGGGAGGGGGTGAATGGGGGCAGGGGCAGAGGACAGGCTGTTTGTGGGGCACAGCCTTCCCTATCCGGCTTTCCATACAGTTTCACACCGCGATGTGGCCCTCGGGCCAAAAAGTTTGCCCACCCCTGTTCTACATGCATTCACAAGGACCGTTTTGATAGCTTAGAATGCTGACAAAAATGGAAGCAGATATTTAATGAGACACAAAGCAGAAGCAGTTTCTCTTCTAGATGTTTTCAAATGACTAAACATTCTAGCAAACATGCCAGATGTGTCGAAGATGGGAGGGCTTGGCCCTGACTAGAGGGGTCACACTTCTCCACTACTCTGTGAAATTACCCATTGTTGACAAAAGGTGAAGCTGAACTGGCTCTGAGGATGGCTCACCTGGAAGTACAGCCACAGAGGAACCTGGTCAGCACCATTTCAGTTTTGAACTGTCCATGTCTAACACTTTCATCTAAACCATGCTCAGCACCGGATTGGCTGCACTTGTGGCCAATGACTTGTCAAAAACAATATACATAGCATAGAGGAGACAATCAGAAGCGTGACTGTAGCACACATATAGATATAATTGAGCTAGTTTTGATCTACCTAGCTCATATAACAGCTGTGAAGCCATACCAGCATAGGTGGCAACACGGGCTGTACATGTCCTTCCGAGATCCCGGGTAAGTACTCGAGAAGCTAGCCCAAGCTGTTGCCAGTGCTGCTGTACCTTCACTGATATTTTTAACAAGCTAGCTAGATCAAAGATAGCTCAGGTATGCTTACACGTGCTGCAATCCCATTTTTGATTGCAGTGTAGAATATCCAAGTTCAGGCTCCACAGTGAGTCAGTCTTGATCTGCTAAGACTATGAGCAAGGATGCTAATTGGTGTTAGTTGTGATTTTTATTTTTGACCTGCAGGCTACTGTCCACTAAATACTTCCACACCATCTACTGAATGCGAAGCTGGTAATAATGACTCATTAGAACTAGATTGAAGTAGTGACCTGAAGATTAAAAGTCCCATAGTTTAGGGCAATCTTTTTAGCCATCCAGTACTCCCACAAATGCATTTCCCCCCTAAAAAAAGCTATAATATTCACATAACTTAAGCCACAAAGAGCCAAATGTGAACATACTGATAACCACACGCACAGATTGCTTTTCTTTAATCCAGCAAGCCAGTTTTACAATATGTGTGTTTTACAGAATATCCAAACAGCAATGCATAAGGTCTATGAGATTTTAAACCTCTGAATTCAGCCAAGTATCACTTTGGACCCACTTGCCACTCTGTCTTGCTGTTTAGCTGTTCAGGGTCATTAGCTAAGGCAGAGAGGAACCTGGAACCAAATCTGGCTCCCTACTCCAGTCAATAGAAAAACTCCAGTTAATTTGAATCGGAGCAGATCTAGACCCCTATTGAAGCAAGGAAAGAAAAGAAACTAGATCAACATAAAAGTTGCAAAAAAATACCTTGGCAATGTGGTGGGAAGCAAGGGTTCAGAGAAGCCAAAAAATGTAAGTAAAGTAACAGGATTTTTGGAGGTAAAGGAGTGAAACACTCAGAAAAAGACCTGGGAGATAAAAGAAGCAATCAACACAATGCTAGAAACAAAAGAAGAAAAACCCAAGAGAAGCCAGGAAAGTTAATCATTAATTTCAGGGTCAGTTTAGACCTAATCCACTATGTAGCTGTGTTGTTCTGTGCTTGCTTCATAGTTCACCTGATGAGTTCCCTTAACTTTTTATTCAAGTCATAACATTTATTTGTGCTGACAGACAGACATATGGAGCTAGTGGGATGGGGGGGAAACTACTTTTATCTCTAGCTATTGTATTGTGTACACAGCATCTGACATTGTTTGAGCAGATTTTTAAAATACCTTTTGGATTTGGAGAATATAAATATTGAATAATAGGACAGTAAGCAATTTCCTCAATTTCAAGTTGATACCAGTCTCTTCTCTGAAAAGACACTTCTGATTTTGAATTGGGATCTTTTTCATGAGGATCAACATCCTCACAGCATCCTACATCTTACTGGGTTTCAAAACAGCTCTGAAATCTCTTCAGGACAAGGAGGAGAATACAAACATGATGGTTACATTTTCACAATATCATAGTCCAGTGACTTTGCACTCAAGTACAAAATCTAGAAGCTGGCAGCCCTGCCATTACTTCTGCCGTTCATGCAGTTGGGGTGCCCACTGGGTATTAAGAAACACACTCATGCAAAGGAGCTGAAAAATATCAGCTAGAATAGAAAAACTGTGACCCTACATTCTCAGATGGAACATAGAGCTTCAGAACCACATAGGGCCAGATCCAAACCCCTTGAAATCAATCAAATGACTCCTATTGACATCAGCGAACTCTAGATCAGGCCTTTGACAAACAAATATACTGACTGCTATTGCCATATAGGGCCTTCTAAACTGCACTCTAAAAATCTCTTCCCCCACTCCCCATCCCCAATACCCTGCAGCTGCTTTGTCAGTTCTAAAACTCAGTATTTAAGGGGACTTGCAAGTTTGACACCAAAGTTGGTGAAATTGATTGGTATTTGGAGTTTAGTGGTCTCCTATGAGCATTCCTGGGTTTCTCTGACTGATTTTGATGAAGTGCTTTTATTTGTCTTTCTAGCAAGAGACTGCAGATGAATTTGCAATAGATCAGCATGGCTCCTGTTTAGCTTTGTCAGGCATCACTTAGTCATGTTATAATTTATTTTCCAGGAAAAAAGATATTTCTCATGAGGGCTTCAGGCTAACACAGTTATAAAGCAGCTGGCTACTGTTCAGATTCTCATCTGAAGGCAGCTGCATTTCTCTGCATAAGCAGAAAAAAACCCAAAGCCAGAGAGGAGGAAGAACCGGAAGTCCAAGTTCCGTTGGTACATCTTTTTTCTGGTGGCATTTACTTCAGTAAAACTTTGCAAAGAGTCACAGCTGGTAGAACCAAGGTTAAAAAAAGCCTATGGAGTAACATAGGCTGTGCTATTAGCAATGCTGATCTGTCTGCAGACACCGAGCGGGATTTTTCAGTTAATAAAGCAGAAGAGCTATGAATTCTCTTTGACAGATTTTGAATTGACGGGGTAAAGTTTTTTTGAATGGATTTTTGTCCTGTATTACCTTTGGCATAGTGTGCAATAGAACAGTCCTTATCTTGCTTCAGCTTTATTGGGTGGGAGGCACTTTTGCTCAGGTCGCAATGGTGGTTGTGTTTGTTGGTGTAGTTTTGTCCCCATTTTCTCCTGAATTACAGTGATTGGTGAGTAGTCTGAAAGTGTGAAGGCTAAAGATAATTCATTTCTGCTTTGATCACCATTACGGTTATTCAAGAACAGGCGCAAGTATGATTACAGGATGAATGTAAATATCAATTCAATATCATTGCATTTATAGAAGGTGTTTTATGTTGTCTCCTCTTGTCTCCCATTCTTTACCTCATTAGAATTCAGGGGAAGCAGCATAGTACAGTGTACAGATTTTTGAGAGAGAACGAATCTCAACAGAACATGTCACCAATTATGAAGTTATAATCAACTTGATAATTAATAGAATATTTTTTCTTGTAGCTTGTGTCTTGTACTTTAAGAAATTGAAATTAAAAGTCAAAGAACACAACGAGAGAAACAAAAGACCTACAGAAATATTTATGCTTAGAAGTAACTGTTGTTCTTGCTATTTTAATCAGCAGTGATGTTCCATTAGCACTGACTTAACCAAGCCAGATTATGCTCTAGGCAGCATCTATCCCTACAATGATTACACATTGCTGCTGTTTATTTTTTAAATTGTTCACTGAACAAAACACAATACTTAAAAGTAAACAATAACTGCAAGGTTAGAGTTGGATCTAAGCTCAGAACGTCCAATGTGAGAGTGGGGCACCATGCACAATAAAAACACAAATAGTTTGAAAACATTTGGGACTAGAAGATAAAACAAAATAAAATTAAAGTTCAGACAGAATCACTTTTAAAAGAATATGTTGCATGCTGCCATCCATCCATCTGGGATTATTATATTCATCTTTTCATTTAAACCTCCTGAGATCTTTCAGAAATATTAATTGAACTGAACAATACCACCTACCTCTAATCCAATGATTTTCACCAGTAGATCTCAACATGCTTTATGACGGAGGTAAGCTCTGTTATCCCCACTTTACAGATAGCAATAAAATGTTATACTACTCTTGCCTGTTTCTGCATTAACATCAGTGTGCTGTTTCTTTATACAAAAATTGTTGTACTACAGTTGTCCTGAAAAGAAGCTAATAAATATAGATCTGTGTAGCAACAACAAAAAAATCAGACTTTCTGATGCTTTTTTCAGCAACACAGTGAGTAGTTATGTGCTCAGCTGCCATAAAGATTTTTTTAACTGAGAAAGGAAACTTCTTTGTTTTGTTTTTGTTTGCTTTTTTTAGATGATAACTTATTCTGATCCTATACTGAGCAGCATTTTGGGGGATTGATTCATCTGGATACTCAATTTATGGTCTGACAACTGAGTAGGGAGAGCCTGCTGGGACAAAAGGTTGCACTTGCTCCAGACACTACAAAATATTGGCTTCTTGTTTTGAGAAAGTACTAGTAGACAGAAAGGCTGGTCCACTGACCAAGGTACTAGCATAGGGCACAGAAGACCTGGATTCAACCTCAGCTCTGCCACAACTTACTGTACAAAGTTGGCAAGTCACAGTCTAATTGTACCTCAATTCTGCATTTGTAAAATGGTGCTAATAGCA